CGCCGGCTCTCTCTCTCTCTCTCTCTCTCTCTCTCTCTCTCTCTCCACGCGACCCAAAGATGGAAAGTGCAAACGGTATTTGTTTTTCCTTTTTTTTTTTTGGGCAGAAGAATGTTGATTTTTTTTTTTTTTTTGTCTTGTTTTTTCCTTCCGAGGCTCGGCTAGGTTCGGGATATCGGTAGGCTGAGCCACGGGGCTTAACAACCGCTAGGTACTGGTGGTTTAAGGTCCTGCCGCTTTTGTTACCGGCCCAGGCCTGAATCAAAATGTTCTTCCGGTGAAAGCGTAATTCTTCCAAAAAAAAAAAAAAAAAGGAAAGTTCTTCCGGTGTATAGGCCCGTAAGAGCAGGACTTCGCTTCAGGTGTACTGGCGGCTTTAGAGAGAGACTTGGCTTTTGTGGCCAAGGGCTAAGGGTGCCAAATGTTCTTTCGGTGTAGGCCCATAAGAGCAGTACTCTGCTTCAGGGGAACTACCGGTGTAGGCCCGTAAGAGCAGTACTCTGCTTCAGGGGAACTACAGTCTTCACCCGAATAGAACGCCGGGTCATTATAGCTGTTGATCTCCGTCTTGGAAAAAGTCCACATACTTGAGGAAAGAGTCCTAGTGTGAGTATGCCTTCACTTTGGTTGCCTTGTTGCTTGTCGCGCTTCCCACTTGCCTCCTTGCTGGGTCTGCAGTGTCTATCTGCTCTGCGTTCTGCCTTCATGCCTGCCAGCCCACTCCCGGCCTGTTCGTCGTTTTGCTTTACTGATGCCTGCTTTGCCTTGCTACCTGCCTGGTTGTCCACTTTCTACAGGGGTGGAATTACTTAGACTTGTCCACTTTCTACAGGGGTCGAATTCGAAGCCCATCAGGGGTGCGTTTTATGCCCCTGAGAACATTTTTCGTCGTCGTTTGTTATACGGTCGTTGGAAGGCTGGAAAAACAAGGCATGGCAGTTTAGGGGGTGGTGGCATCTTATTTGAAACTGCAGGACCGGTAGCTGCCCGTGGGACCGCACAGGTTTTGGCCAGGACCTCGTAGGACCGGTAGCTGCGCGTAGGAGGCCGAGGAGGCCGCATTCCTTTTTCGAAATTGAAACGGTGCGGGTCCACTTTTCTCGAATAGCAGAGTTCCTCGAATAGAAAATGAACACGTTGTATTTGAATACAACCTGTACCCTTTCTATTCGGATTTTGAAAAACAAAACCTCTTGTATTCCGATAGAATTACTTCTTTTTGTTGGAGGTCAGCGCCTGCCCTTGTGCTCCTCGCCACTGACATGCTGCAGGTCTCTCTCTCTCTCTCTCTCTCTCTCTCTCTCTCTCTCTCTCTCTCTCTCTCTCTCTCTCTCTCTC